ATTATCATTTATCCTTTCAAGAACTCGGTAGGGGCCTTCTCCCCTATGGAGAAGTTTGTTCTTTCTCTTTTGAGGAAATCTTTCCTTCCTCAAGTGAATCCAAACCCAATCACCGGGTTCAAATATCATCCGCTTTCTTTCTTTGTTGGCCCTAGAAGCCGCTTTGTCATTCATTTTCTCAAGTTGATGTCTTGCCTTCTCATGAATCTTCTTCATAGCCTCGGCCCTTTTCTTGGCATCTAAACTAACAATCACATCTTGAGACAAAGGAGTTAGATCCAAAGGGGTGAGGGGATTAAAACCATACACACTTCAAAAGGAGTCATGCCAATAGAAGAATGATAAGAACGATTATATGCAAACTCAATCAATGGTAAATGCTCCTCCCAAGAAGTAAGCTTCCCCTTGACCATGGCCCTAAGCATGTTACCTAAGGTCCTATAGACCACTTCGGTTTGGCCATCGGTTTGGGGGTGACAAGAAGTAGAGAATTTCAAATGCGTGCCAAGTTTACTCCAAAGGCTTTTCCAAAAGTAACTAACAAACTTGGTATCCCTATCACTAACAATAGATCTAGGAACCCCATGCAACTTAAGCACATCGTTTACAAACAGATCAAGTACATGTGTAGCATCATCACTCTTATGGCAAGGTATAAAAATGAGCCATCTTAGAAAATCGATCAACAACCACAAAGATGCTATCTTTTCCCCTCTTCGTCCTAGGTAAACCAAGCACAAAGTCCATAGAAATATCAAGCCATGGCGCTTTGGGAATAGGGAGTGGGGTGTACAAACCATAAGGATTAGACTTAGATTTAGCATGCTTACATTCAATACAATTTTCACAAATATGCACAACATCACCTTTCATTTTAGGCCAACAAAAGTGTTCCTCAAGAATGGCTAAAGACTTATCAATTCCAAAATGGCCCATCAAACCCCCACTATGTGCTTCCCTAACTAGCAACTCTCTCCAAGAAGAACGAGGCACACAAAGTCTACCTTCCCTAAGCAAAAATCCATCAACCTTGGAAAATATTCTTTCCTCCCTAAGGTGAGCTAACTCTTTCTTTCTCTCCTTATGTTCTTCTTTGTCAAGACATTCTTCCTCTATGTGTGGGAATTCTCTTAAAAGAGTCATGGTTCTCACACTTAGAATATATCTCTCCAAAGTCAACATCACTAGGATAAAGATCCTTCAAGCACTCAAATCCTATCAACTTACAAGACAAAGTACTCAATAAGGCATATCTCCTAGAAAGTCCATCCGCTACTACATTCTCTTTGCCTTTCTTATAATGGACCACATAAGGAAATTGCTCTAAAAATTCCAACCATTTAGCATGTCTATTCCCCAACTTACCTTGGATTCTAAGGTGCTTCAAAGCATCATGATCGGTTTTAACAACAAACTCCCTGTGCCAAAGGTAGTGTCTCCAAGTAGCTATGACTCTCACTAAGGCATACAACTCCCTATCATAGTTAGAGTACTTCAAACAAGCTCCCTTAAGTTTTTCACTAAAATAGGCTAAAGGCTTTCCATCTTGCATAAGAACTGCTTCAATGCCTATTTGGCTTGCATCACACTCTATCTCAAAGGTCTTATCAAAGTTTGGCAATTGTAAGAGTGGCGCACTACTCAAAGCTTCTTTCAAGGCATTGAAAGCCTCCTCTTGTACAAGACCCCAAAGAAAACTCTCATCTTTCTTGATAATTTGGGTCAAAGGTGCGGCAATAGTACTAAACCCTTTTACAAATCTTCTATAAAAACCCACTAAACCATAAAAACTCCTAACATCCCCGGTGGACTTAGGCCTAGGCCAATTCCTAATTGCCACTACCTTAGATTCACCAACCTCAACACCTTGAGCACTAACAACAAAGCCAAGAAAGACAACTTTATCAACACAAAAATTGCACTTTTTCAAATTAGCAAATAATCTTTCTCGCCTAAGAGCCTCAAAAATATAATGAAGGTGTTCTACATGCTCCTCAAGTGTTTTAGAGTATACTAGAATGTCATCAAAATAAACCACAACAAACTTGCCTATGAAAGGCTTCATGACATGATTCATCAAACGCATGAAAGTACTAGGAGCATTAGAGAGGCCGAATGGCATAACCATCCACTCATATAAACCAAACATGGTCTTGAAGGCGGTTTCCATTCATCACCGAGTTTCATTCGTATTTGGTGATAGCCACTTCGCAAGTAAATTTTAGAAAAGATTTGAGAACCACTCAACTCATCAAGAAGATCATCTAACCTAGGGATAGGATGACGATACTTTACCGTGATTTTGTTGATGGCTCTACAATCAACACACATCCTCCAACTCCCATCCTTCTTTAGCACTAGAATGACCGGGACCGTACATGGGCTCAAACTTTCACGAACAAATCCCATCTCTAGAAGCTCTTCCACTTGCTTATGAAGTTCATTTATAGCTTCGGGATTGCTCCTATAGGCGGCTTGGTTGGGAAGTTGAGATTCGGGCACAAAGTCAATTTGATGCTCAATGCCTCTAAGTGGGGGAAGCTCCTTTGGTAGCTCATCCGGAAAGACATCTTCAAAATCTTGCAAAAGAGAAGAAATGGAACTAGGTAAGGTAGAAAGAATATCATTAGCAATCAAACAATCTTTATGCATAACAAGAAAGATAGTTGGTTCATGAGCAACTTCCCTTAGAGGCTTGTAGTTGTTTGCAAGGAAGCTCACCCGCGGTCTCGGTACCACTTCTCCTTTTTCACATAAAGATTGAATCTTAACATTAGACACACCTTCATTCGCACTTTTACCTTGTAAAGATTGAAGCTTTACCCCTTTTTCCGTCTCTTTTTCATTTTTGTCTTCTCTTGGAGCCTTACACTCATTACTCTTCTCCTTCTTTTGTTCACTCTTCACCTTTTGTCTCAACTCTCTCATTATCTTGTAATCCTCACTTACTTGAAACGGGGTTATGGGACGGAGAGTAAACCTTTGGCCATCCTTGATAAGTGAATACTTGTTTGTTCTCCCATCATGCTTTGCATACCTATCATATTGCCAAGGTCGCCCCAAAAGTAGATGACAAGCTTGCATAGGAACAACATCACACCAAAACTCATCTTCATATCTCCCTATTTTGAATTTTATGAGCACCATTTTGGTGACTCGAAGGTCTCCACACTCATGTAGCCATTGTAGTCTAGATGAAGGATGCTTCTTTGTTGGCAAATCTATTTGTTCAAGCAAAGAGGAACTTACTACATTAGCACAACTTCCGCTATCAATGATGAGAGAGCAAAGGTTTCCCAAAATTTTGCATCTTCCATGAAATAGATTCTCCCTTTGATCTTGATCTTCTCTAGCTACGGCCAAAACTTTTCTTGTTACCAAGTAAGATCTCGGCCCATCATCTTCTTGTTCTTCTAATTCTTCATCACTTGTTTCATGTTCACTATCTCTATGCTCTTGGTCACTAGCTTCGGTTCTATAGCTTCCATCATCCATAGCAATGATAGTTCTTCTATTTGGACAATCTTTCATGTAGTGACCAAGTCTTTGACATTTATGGCATCGCACATTGCTAAGGGACTTGGTTTGAACATTGGAAGTCCCTTTAGTTTCCACTTTTAGCTTGTTTTTGTCCACTTGAACCTTGGGACCATACTTGGAATCTTTGGATTTCTCCCAATTGTTTGTGGATTTCCAAGGCTTATCATTCTTGTTCCAAGTTGTAGCCTTTGACTTGTAGCTTTTGTTTTCTTTGCACCTTTCTACCTTCAAGGCCATCAAGTAAGCATCTTCCAATCTTTCAAACTTTTGAAGCTCCAAAGCCTCACCAATTTCCTTGTGAAGACCCGCCAAAATTCTAGTGATGACAACTTGGTCATCATCATCAACATCACACCTCAATCTTGTAGTCTCTATCTCTTGGTAACCTTGTGGTTGCCTTGGTAACTTTTGTGGTTGCCTTGGTAACTTTTGTGGTATTTGGTTGGGTTGGTGGTGTTGCAATTTTTCCCTTCAAAGCATTTCTCGCACTTGTGAAGGAGAGGGTGTAGTAGAGGAATTAGTAAGCGTCATACTACGCTCCCTTCCTTGTTGCCTCAAGTGAGATTCCTCTATCATGGAATTCAACCTTGCATCCGTTTGGTGTTGCTGTATGCTAACATTGGTAACCTTCTCACTTAAGTTGGTAACCTTCTCGCTTATGTCATAAAGCATAGAAACAACATCATGCATCAGAGTCTCACTCCGTGGATCACAATTAGGAGTAGAAGTTTGTCCGTACTCCATGATACCTACAAAATGAGCAAACAAGTTAGTAGTAAAAGTCCTCACCAACTCACTTGATGTCGCTCAACCCTCGTGTATCACACTTTGCACCAATTGGCTCTTGCGTGCTCAAAGTCTTATTCGCTCTTGCCTTTTTCCGCTCAAGTAGTGAATGTCAAAATTGCTAGCAAACTTAAGTTCCAACCGTCTTCAGGGTGGAGTGGAAATTGTGTATTCACAAGGACGGACAATTAAAAGCAAACGGACTTGAATCAAGCAATTCACAACGAAATTAAAATACAAAAGCACGAAACAATTGGCACGAAAAAAAGTTAACCGCACAAAGAAACTAGAATTAAACTCAATATGAACTAATATCAATTTAATCTAGTTGAGAATTAACAAACAAGAAGAAAAGATTAACGGGAAAGAAAAGAGCAAACTGGACAGAACAATTTCTGAACTTCTGAACTCCTCTCTGGACTTGTTGCAGTTTGCTGGATTTCCTTTCTCAAAACTTCAATTTTCCAGCTTCAAATCCCTTCCTAAGCACCTAAATTCTCAGCTCAAACTCTTGTCCAAAACTGCAGATTTTCAGCAGCTCAATCAGGAGAGAAACAGGGCAAAAATTTGCTCTCAAACACTGCCCCAATGCTACTGATTTCCTAGCTCAAATGATGTCCCAAGCTGCAAATTTCAGCAGCTCGAATTGGTGGAGAAACTGTGTAGAATACTGTGCAAATTTCAGCAGACCTGTTCAGTTCAAATTGTGCAGAAAACCAGCTCAAACTATGGAGAAATAATAGTGCAGAATTTCTGTCCAAACTATCTAGAAAACTGCAGCTGAACAGGGCAGAAATTCAGCTCAAACTGTGCAGTAGCTGAAGCACCAAAAACAGTTGAAACTGGGCAGAAAATTTCAGTCCTCTGATGTTGTTCCAAAACTGCAGAAACAGGGCAGATTTCTTTGCTCTAATGCTAGTCCAAAACTCCAGGTTTCAGCAGCTCACAGATGCAGCAACTGGGCAGCAAAGTTGTGCAAATCAAAACCTGAATCGTTGCGATGAATGAATTGAAGTTCGTGGCGATAATTCAGTTGCAAACGAGTCCTAGAAAATGGAGAACACAACTGCAATTTTTTAGTTGCAAATCAGTGGCTGCTGTTCTTCGTCTTCTTGAGAGAATTGACTCCAAAAATACTTCAACCTACAAGCAATTCGAATCAGCTCTACAAATGTTCTTCTTCGATTTACCAGCTGCTCGAATCAACTCGTATCAGTTCGAGAAGTTCTTCAATCGAAACAAGTGTTCTTCGACTGATTCAAGCTCGACTCAAATGGTTATGAATTTTTGCATCCAAGGGGTATTGTCCTAGTGGTCAATAAAGTGGGTGCAGATCTTAAATACCAGGGCTCAGAACCCAGCAGAGACGAACCACTAGGTGTGTGACAACCCAAAGGGTCATCACCTATATTCCTACTCCCTCTGTACTTCTGAGGCCCTGGAAAGCTCATTTGGGGTTGCCTCGAGTTGTGTGCGCAGTCCGGGCGCGTAGCCGGAACGTTTAAATATGAATTTGTGAGAAAAATAATAAATTCTGATGTCTTAATTGATTAAGTTTGACTTCGGTCAACGTTTTGGGCAAACGGACCCGGACTCGTGATTCTACAGTCCCGGAGGGTCCGTAGGAAAATATGAGACTTGGGGGTGTGCCGGGAATCAAATTCCGAGATCCCGAGTCCGAGGAATGAATTTTTGTGTGAAATTGTTTTCTGATAATAATTAAAGAATTGGAAAGTGTTATTTGTTTAGAAGACTGTGCTGTTGGGCTCGTATTTTGGTTCCGACGCCCGGCACAAGTCTTAAATATGAGTTAAGCAATTTCTCTAAAGTTTGGTTAGATTTGGACGTCATTTGACGTGTTTTGAGCTAAAAACTCTAAACTTGATGTTTTATGAAAATTGGAAGGAAATCCTGGGTCTTGAGGCCTAATATGATGATTTTGATATTGTTTGGGCGATTTGATCGCACGGATGAGTCCGTAGGACGTTTTTGAGCTTATATGTATGTTCGGTTTGGAGCCCCGAGGGCTCGGGTGAGTTTTGAGTAGGTCCCGGGAGGTCTTAGGCTAGAAAAATAGCAGATGGTTGCAGGTTCAGGGGTTGCAGGCCCCCAGCGCGGCCGCGGTCATTCCCGCGCGGTCCGCGCTGGAAGCCGCGCGGCCGCGGTGCAGCTCTGCGCTGTCCGCGTGGCTAGATTCAGAGGGCCAGTGAAGTCTAGGTCGACCAGCGCGGCCGCGCACCAAATCAGTGCGGTCCGCGCTGGGAGATTCAGAGAGTGGGTCTTGGGTCCATTCAACCAGCGCGGCCGTGCACCAAATCAGTCTGGTCCGCGCTGGGTAGGTTCAGAGAGTCATTTTTCTTCCCTTCCTCGGCGCGGCCGCGGTGCATTTTTGTGCGGTCCGCGCCAGTCTTCAGCACAGTATATAAAGTCGGGATTTTAAGTCATTTTTCACTTTTTCAAAACCCAAAACATAGGAGGCGATTTTCCAAACGATTTCACTTCTTCAAAACGATTGGTAAGTGTTTTCTAACTGATTTTCTTTACTCCTTAACATCCTTAAACATGATTTCAACTTCAAAACAAAGATTTTAATGGGGAAATTGGGAATTTAGGGTAGAACCTAGGTTTTCTAAAATTGGGGGTTTTGGACCTCAATTCGGGGTCCGATTCCAAAATAACTTACATATTTGAGTTCATTGGGGAATGGGTAAACGGGTTTTGGTTCGAACCTCGGGTTTTGACCATGTGGGCCCGGGGGTATTTTTGACCTTTTGGGGTAAATTGATGAAAAAGCTATAATTAGTCATTGGGTTTGATTTGTTTAGCACATATTGATATCATGAAGTCCTTATTGCATAGATTTGGTCGAGTTGGAGCCTAATTAGAGAGGGAAAGCGGTTGTGGAGGATTGTATCGGCCGCGGAAGTTGAGGTAAGTGTTTGGTTTAACCCTAGCTTGAGGGAATAGGATTCGAGTCTTGTTTGCTAATTGCCAAATGATCGAGTACGATGTATAGGTATGGTGGCGAGTTCCTATACATTGGGGTCTAGCATGACCGTGAGTCCTTATATGTGAGTTGTTTGGATATTGTTATGCCTTCCATGTTATTAATGGCTTCTATACGTGGTAAACACCTTGTGAAAGATATTGTGTTTGTAGAACTTCGTGGAGCATTGGCTCGGTCGGAAATACAAATGGTGAGGTATGTGAAATGAGAAATGCCTTAGAGCTTGACACGAGTGCTAATGAGAGTTTGGATATGGAAATGAAAGAAAAAGAGAAATAACGATTTATTCTTGCATGGTTGTTATTGGTTGTTTGTGTACCCTTGTTGGGATTTCTTTCCAAATACTTGTTTACTCCCTTGCCCTTTATTTGTGACTGTTGTTTGGGCAAGGTTGAGAGGTATACATTACGGATCGGGTTGTGCACCGCAACAATATTATATGTGGATCGGGTTGCACGCCGCAACAGTGATAATTGTGGATCGAGTTGCACGCCACAACAATGTTATGTGTGGATCGGGTTGCACGCCGCAACAGTGATAATTGTGGATCGGGTTGCACGCCGCAACAGTGTTGAAATGTATTAGGGTCGGGTTGCGCGCCGCAACAGTTATTGATGCAAAATGTGTTTAGTGTTGGTATTAGTTTCTTGTTCGCCTTAAATTTTAAATTGCACCTAGATTGATTACTTTGGATTTACTGTTAATCTTGTTATCTCCCCACCGCATGTTTCCCCTCCCATACTGTTAATTGCCTTGTACTTCGATTTTCGTTGTATATTTATAATTGCACAGGTTTATGTGGGGTCCAGTCTAGCCTCGTCACTACTTCGCCGGGGTTAGGCTAGACACTTACCAGCACATGGGGTTGGTTGTGTTGATGCTACACTCTGTGCATTTTTGCACAGGTCCAGGTATTAAGCAGCAGCAGCAGCATTAGCGCGGGGGCGAACCTTCAGTCCAGAGAGACCCGAGGTAGCTTGCAGGCGTCCGCAGGCCCGACGTCTCCCTTCTATATTTACGCTTTGGCTGTCATCTCATTGTACCCGAGATAAATAGATTATGTTTCTTTCAGACTTTGTATGTAGTACTCTTTAGATGTTCGTGAGGATGTGACTCCAGTCCCGGGGTAGAGATATATGTGTTGGAACTTCTGTATTATTGATCATCTATCTACATTTAAGTCTTCCGCTTATGATTTTAATTCCGTCGCCTTTATTTAATGCCGTTAATTGTTAAAAAAAAAGATCATGTGTTTAATGTTATTGCTAATTAAGTTGGCTTGTCTAGCTCCTATTAGTAGGCGCAATCACGACTCCCGAGGATGGGAATTCCGGGTCGTGACAAGTGTGTATCAGAGCTCTAGGTTACATAGGTCTCACAACTCACGGACAAGCTTAGTAGAGTCTGAGGGATCGGCGCGGAGACGTCTGTACTTATCCCCCAGAGGCTGCCAAGTTAGGAAAAAAATCCCCCAGGCAGCTCTCGCTAGGGGCAGAGGACGAGGTCGTGCTAGAGGCAGAGGTAGGGGCAGAGCTCAGCCCCGAGCAGCAGCACCAGCGGCGGAGCCCCAGGTCGGTTTTGACGAGGAGGTTCCGGCCCCAATCCCAGCAGTGCCAGTGGGCCCAGCTCAGAGGGGTTTATAGCCACCCCAGTTCTTCAGGACGCTTTGGTCAGATTGGTAGGGAATTTGTTCGGTGTCTCGGAGTTGCTTTGCGGAGAGCGTCACTAGAGCGGGTTTGCTTCCAGTAGCACCAGCCACTTCTCAGGCTGGAGGAGGAGTTCAGACTCCTGCTACACGTACTCCGGAGCATGTAGCTCCCCAGGCTCAGGTTCTAGTGGTTCAGCCAGTTGTGGCAGCTCAGCCGGGTATTGTGACTCAGGCCGGCGATGAGCGGCTATGCCCGCAGATGCTTTGTGGAGACTGGATAGTTTCACCAATCTCTTCACCACCACATTCAGCGGTGCTTCTTCAGAGGACCCCCAGGATTTCTTGTATAGCTGCCATGAGGTTCTTCGGACTATGGGTATTGTGGAGACCAATGGGGTCGACTTCGCCACTTTTCGTCTAGCAGGATCCGCCAAGACTTGGTGGAGGGATTTCTGTTTAGCCAGACCAGCGGGGTCGCCAGCATTGACATGGGATCAGTTTGCAGAGTTATTTTTGGAGAAGTTTCTCCCAGTTACTCAGCGAGAGGCTCTTCGCAGGCAGTTCGAGCGTCTCCAGCAGGGCTCTATGTCAGTCACTCAGTATGAGACCCGGTTTATCGATCTAGCTCGCCATGCTATTGTTATACTCCCCACTGAGAGGGAGAGGGTGAGGAGATTTATTGATGGTTTGATTCAGCCGATTCGTCTCCAGATGGCTAGGGAGACTGGTAGTGAGATCAGCTTTCAGGAGGCGGCCAATGTGGCCCGCCGAGTTGAGATGGTTCTGGCACAGGGGGGTGGCCATAGAGTGGACAAGAGACCCCGTCACTCTGGTCGTTTCAGTGGTGCCTCATCTAGAGGCAGGGATTCTTATGATAGGGGTCAGCCCTCCAGGTTTCTCAGGGTGTCCCAAGTGATCGTGGTTACCGTGGGCATTATTCTGATCAGCAGTCCCTCAGTGTACCATCAGCTCCCATCAGCGCACCGCCACTTCAGAGTTTCCGTGGAGGTTACTCAGGTCGCCAGGGCCAGCCACAGCGTTCAGAGGGGTGTTATGAGTGCGGTGAGTATGGTCACATCAGGAGAGCTTGCCCGAGATTGAGGGGTACTCAGTCGCAGCAGCAGGGTCCCCGTCCGATGATTCAGGCACCGGATGCTCCACAGCCAGCTAGAGGTGGAGGTAGAGGCCATAGAGTTGGAGGTAGAGGCCATAGAGGTGGAGCTCAGACCGCCAGGGGCGGAAGTCAGCTAGCAG